TGTGGAGAAAGGGGAACCCTCTTACACTGTTGGTGGGAATGCAAGTTGGTACAGCCACTTTGGAAAACAGTGTGGAGGTGCCTCAAAAATTTAAAAATAGAGCTACCCTATGACCCAGCCATTGCACTCCTGGGTATTTACCCCAAAGACACAGATGTAGTGAAAAGAAGGGCTATATGCACCCCAATGTTCATAGCAGCAATGTCCGCAATAGCCAAACTGTGGAAAGAGCCGAGATGCCCTTCAATAGATGAATGGATAAAGAAGACGTGGTCCATATATACAATGGAATATCACTCAGCCATCAGAAAGGATGAATACCCAACTTTTACATCAACATGGATGGAACTGGAGGAGATTATGCTAAGTGAAATAAGTCAAGCAGAGAAAGTCAATTATCATATGGTTTCACTTATTTGTGGAACATAAGGAATAGAATGGAGGACATCAGGAGAAGGAAGGGGAAAATGAAGGAGGGGTGGGAATCAGAGGGAGAGATGAACCATGAGAGACTATGGACTCTGAGAAATGAACAGGGTTTTCAGAGGGCAAGGGGGTGGGGGGATGGATTAGCCCGGTGATGGGTATTAAGGAGGGCACGTACTGCATGGAGCACTGGGTGTTATACGAAAACAATGGATCGTGGAACACTACATCAAAAACTAATGATGTATTGTATGGTGACTAACATAACATAATAAAATTTTAAAAAATAAAAAAAATAAAAGGATAGATAGACTTGGTTTTGGCAGAATCGCTAGTGAACCTTCTTAGTTACACAAATGTAAAATCCAGCCGGCAATGTCATCAGGTAACTCAAATGCCAATGCTTCTGTCTAAGATATTAACTTTTCTGTTTATGCTCACTTTGTTCATTTCTGTCATGCTCATTTATGAAATGGTCGTATATTTTAGCAGAATGGTATCCAGGAAAATCTGGCTCCTGTTAGAGTCTTCTTCCTCGCTTTTCTTTTCCTCCCTGAATCCAGGCTTAGACGTCCCTAGAACTGCCATATATTGTGTAGCCTGTGCAGTTTGTGTCCAGCGTTTTGAGCCTTTGTTTGTAGGGGCTATGATAAAATGCAGAAGTGGGATGGGATGAAAACTGGGCTCAAAAGGTAAGTGTGACTAGATTTTGAATCCTGGCTGGAATGACACATGGGTTACAGGAAACCCTGAACACATTATTCTCTTGTATAAAATTGCTCCAGGGCTTCTTAGAATAAAGACAAGGTCCTTTATCAACAGCTGCCTAGCTGTCTGGCACCTCTTGTGGATACACAGAGCCCACACACTCAGACATTCATGCATACATACAATGCACATAGGCACACATGCGGACACCAGCTCATGCATGCATACATACACACATGCACACCATACATACACGTGCACACACACATGCTCGTGAGCACACACATACATGTGGACACTAACACACACATGCAGCCACACTCAGGACTTCCTGCAGCCATGTGGCTGTCTCCTCTGCCTGACACATCTTGACCTGCCCCCAGAGCTCCCCCTGCCCCTCACCTGGCTGGCCCCATGCATGCCTCACTGCCTCTAAAACCTCTTCTAACCCCCTTGGATGGGACCACTTACCCTCCCCACCTGCCCAGCTCCCGGTGCTGCCTGAATGAGAGGTCATGACACTGTTTTCCAATCACTTATTTACTAGTCTCTGGCTCCCAACTACCAGTTGTAAATAGTGGATGAGACCTAAATTTCTCCCAGAAATTTACACAGTCATAGCTCTGATTGGCTGGTTTCAGAATGAAACCTTTGGTGTGGTCGCCGGAGAGGAGGAGGAATTTAAAAAATGAGTCTTGGGAGGTGGAGGAAGAACATTCCTGGCATCTCTGAACTGTATTTATCAGAAGTTACTTCCATTTCCTACTCTTAAATCCCAGTGCCAGAACATCCCATCATTATTCATAATAGAGCCTTGCAGAACTTCAGTCCAAGGCTCCCTGAGTGCTGTTTGGAGTGTCTTCTAGTCATTCTGTAGTAAGCAGTCAATACATGTTGGCTTTTATTCCTAACATCTGGTCTCCCCATACTACAATATCTACACCTTTAAAGGGTGGGGACTGTGTCTCCCAAATCTCTTGTGTCCTCTTTGTCTCCCAGGCACTAATATAGAATTCGCATATAATAGATGTTCAAAATGTTTTTTTTTTTCTCAGAGAACTTGATCCAATTTACCTTTCTCTGTGAACTGTGCCCACAGCCACCCAGACATACCCAGTCCCTGTCTCAGTCGTGGGCCCTGCACCAAGTTGGATCAAGTTGAGTTGCCATGAGTGAAGGAGATGAGCAGGCATGGGGAGGTGACAGGGGCTAGGCAAACCTTGGAACCAAAGCACCAAAGCTGATCCCAGGGCAGTGCCAAACAGAAGGCAGGTAGGATGTGAGGGGGAGTGAAGAGGAAGCTGGAGGAGCTGAAGCTCTAGTAGCAACTGGGTTGGTCCAATGTTGACCTCAGGCGCCCAGGCTTAAAATCCAGGGCCTGCTTGAAATACTTGGATGATTCCTCCAGGTCTCCTGGATAAGTGTAACTTCCCTCACAAGGCATTCATAGCCAGGCCCTGCCTAACTTCTCATCTTCATTTTCTACTCCTCAGCCATAAGCCCTGGGTCCCAGCACGTGATTTTCTACTCCTCAGCCATAAGCCCTGGGTCCCAGAAGTGCTAGGAGCTCTTCTCCATCACACCTCCCAGAGTCGTTCTCTCTGCCTAGAAATGCCCATGCCCACACTCTCTGACTGGAAAACTACTCTTTCTTTGAGGCCCAGACTAAGTACCCTTTCCTTTTCGAAGCCCTGCCCAGCCCTCTCTGCTAGCTCTACCTCTGCGCCACAGTGGGCACCATCCACCATGCTACCATGGCTCTCCTTACACTCTCTCCTGAACCATCGGCAAGACCCAAGTGATCATCCACCAATCCATTCGAGACTTTGTACTTCTTCAACACTTTTGGTGTTCCAGCAGCTACTCTGGGTACTGGTGACCTGAAATTGAACAGAGCATGCCCTCCAAAAGCACAGAGTAGTCTCAACACATAAACACACAGGTATGACATGATAGCCAGGTGATAAAGTAATTGGGGCATATGCAGGCAATGGAGAGGCAGGGTAAGAATCTGAACTTATTAAAGACATCAGGCCAGCATGTCTCTCCTCAGCTAAAACCCTTCCCATAGCTTCCCTTCACACTTAAAGATAAACTGAAGCGCTCATTTTGCCTTTAAGGCCCCCAGGACCCAGCCCCTGCTGGTCTTGATCACCTCCTAACCCTCTCCCTTGTTCTCCAGGCTCCAACACTCCTGCTTCCCACTGCTGTTTGGACACACCAAGCCCCTTCTGTTTCAGAGCCCGTATGCTTGTTATTTCTCTGCCTCATCACTCCTAGTCCCACTCACTCCTGTCCTTCAGCCTCAGCTCAGATGCCACCTCCTCAAAGAGTCACCTCCCCTGCCCACCTTCTCCAATGTTATATCTCTCAATACTTACCACCCTCACCCTCTATCATGTAAACTGCCCTTGTTTGTTTGTTTTCTTCTTTGATTATTTGCCTATTCAGGGTTTCCCCCACTCAATTATCAGCTCCAAAGAAGCTTGTTCTTATTTACCATCCTTTCCCCAACTCCCAGAATAAGAGTGGAATAAAAATGTGTGGAACAACATTGGGGTCAGATGGGCCAGAATGACCTTGAGTTCCATCATGTACAGCTCATGCGACCTTCAGCAAGTTATTTCACCCCTTCTAGTTCAGTGTCCTCATCTGTCAAATGGGCAAAAATGCTTGCCTTGCAGGGTGGTTCTGAGGGTGATGACAGCCTGTCCTTGAATGCCCTGGCCCCTGGGTCATGTTGCATGGACGCTGAGTAGTTACACAGAAGAGGAAGAGTGCCAGCAGCCCACCGCTCTGAGTGCCGACACTATGGGCTCTCTGCCCTAGTCTGCACCCGACCCCAGATTGTCTGTGAAATGGAGAGAGATTTGGGTTCCGAAGACAAGTATCAGTCCTAACTGCAAACTCTCAGCCAAGTCCCAGCCCTGTAGTGTTGGCTGGAACAAGTCACCTCAGCCCATTAGCTCCACCACAGCCTTAAACTCAACACACCCAGTACAAACTCGCCATCTGTCCCTCACTGCTCCTCCTTGTCCTCACATGCCAAAACCAGCAGACAACCAGTGGCATTGATCAATCGGTCAAATGACTGATTCACTGTGAAATATCTGATAGGCAAATCACAAGACGAACTAAAACTACAATTGTGAGGAGCCCATGACATTGTCCACCCAGGGACAGAGGGGGAGAGCTAGGTTCTGCCTGCAGCTTCTGGCTGTTTCTAGAAGCTCTGGAGCAGATGGGCTGCAGGAAAAGCTGTAGGCAGCCTTCTAAGAACTCACTGAGTGACCCACGCACCTTTCATTAAACACTGTTCACAGGGGCCTACTAAGACTTTGTACTATTTTCCTATTGCTGCTATAACAAATTACCACAAACTTGGTGGCTTAAAACAACACACATTTATTATTTTACAGTTCTGGAGGTCAGGTGTCTGAAATGGGTTCACTGTACTAAAATTCAACTGTTTCTCCTGGAAGCTCTAGGGGAGAATCCTGTCCCTTGCATTATCTGGCTTCTGGAAACCACCAGCGTTCGCGGGCTGGTAGCCCCCATCCTCTACATTCGAAATTAGCAGCATAGCATTTTCCAGTCTCTGACTCTCACCCTCCTGCCTCACTCTTATGAGGACCCCTGTGGTTACACTGGGCCCACTGGGATAATCCAGGATGGTCTCCCCATCTCAAGATCCTTACCTTACTCACATTTGCCAAGTCCCTTTTGTCTTGTAAGGTAACGTATTCACAGATTCTGGGGATTAGGATGTGGATATCTTTAGAGGGGCATTATTCTGCCTACCACAGATCCTAAGCAGGATGAGCTTGGTTTGGGGGCGCCAGCCTGGAGCTCAGCCTCCTGCCGCCTCCCTACTGACTCTGTTCAAAGTAGAACTCAGTGTGGGCCAATGGCTCACTCTCCTTGACAAGTCGTATTGGCTGCTGGGACTCAGCTGGGCCACAGAGAAACCAGCCAGGCCAGGCCGCGGCCTCAAGCCTGAAGGCTGAGCCCGAGCTTCTCTGGAAGAAGGTGAAGCGTGTGGCTTCTTCACCACCCTTGTACAGATCCTCGATGTTCACATCCTGTGGGGGGCAAGATGGCTGCTGCAGGATAAGGCCACTGGTTGAGATATCAGCCCTAGAGGCCCCCAGGGGGTGGCCAGTGAGGGACTTTACAGGGAGGGTCAGTACCCAGAGCAGTGCTTTCTGCAGGTTCTGGAGGGCAGGGGTCTTGGCACTAGGTGCAGAGGGAAGGGGAGGCATGTGTGGACTTGGCTGGGAGTCCACAGATGGGTACAGAGATGCCAGAGCACCCAGGAAGCCAGGCCATGTCTGTGGGGCACCCCAGAATATGGTGTGGTTTCTCACCTCCAGCTGCAGGGTAGGACCCTCTCCTGTCTCCACACAGGCTAGGCAGCGACTGCCTCCCTGGATCCCCAGGAAGATGGGGACTTTGGTGTGGTCCAGGCCTCTGTTGGGAAGTATGCAGATCTTCTCTGGGAGGAAAGAGAGAAGAGAGCCAGAAGATGAGAGGACCTAGATGGCAAGCTCTCAGCGAGCTACACCTGGGCAGAAAAGAGCTGACCCAGGGCACACCTGGCTTGACCCCTGCATGCAGGCTGCGGGGCAGGCTGGGACCCCTGCAACGGTCATGACACCCTCAGAAGGCGAGGTCCTCAGCGGCTCCCTGCCTCTTCTCACTGTCACCAGAGGCAGAGGGAAGGGGAGAGCCGGTGGCAGGTGGAGCATGGGTGTGTCTGAGGGGATGGAGGCCCCAGTGGCTCACCTGCACAGCAGTTGTCCAAATTGGGATCTCCCACCAGGAGCTGGTCACCTCTTAAGTATAGAGCCTTCTGATCTGCATCCTTAATTCTGGAACAAGATGGTTGTGCTGACGACCTGCTCCCTTCAGGCACCACCAAGCCCCAAAGTCTTCCCGCCCCCATGCTCTGAAGTACCACACTGAGCATTTAGGTGTTCTTCTCTCCTATAGGTGAGAAGTAGGTGCATGACTCCACCCAAGAGCAGGTAAAAACAGGTCAGCCTTAAGGCAAGGGAAGGTCTTCTGGAGCTCGTGATTCTCAGAGGCTCCCTTTACCAGCGTTGGCCTCTGTCAGGGTCCTGGGGCAGTGAGGAAAGCCAGTGCCTTCTCATTGATGGGTAGACAGAGTTTTCCTGATTATGCTAGCCCCTTTTCATGCCCTTCCTGAGAAATTTCCCAATGAGGCTCAGATGTCTCTAGGATACAGTGAGCCTTATCCCAGATTTTCTGGGCCTGACCCAATTTTGCATAAATGTTTTATTTTCTTCAGTGAAGAGGATTAATTGAATGTATAATAAAGTGTGGTTTTGGGGCCCCTGGGTGCCTCAGTCAGCTAAGCGTCCGACTCTTGATTCTGGCTCTGGTCTTGATCTCAGGGTCATGAGATCAAGCCCCATGTCAGGCTCTGTGCTTAGCGCGGAGTCTGCTTGAGATCCTCCCTCCCTCTCCTCCTGCCCTTTGCACATGCTCTCTCTCTCTCTAAAATAAATAAATAAATAAAATCTTTTAAAAAATAAAGTGTGGTTTGCTTTTCAAATATTTTAAAGGCTTTTTGATAGAACAAAATTCACAAATCAGAAAAAAAAATCCTATGTGACAGTGGGTGTGCCAACATGGCCACCCTGTTCCATGCAAGGTGTATTCTGGGGTGGCCTCGTGTTATGGGTGTCAAATTTAGGAGGTCAGCAAAGAGCTGGAGCAGGGTGTGATTACAGTCATTTGGGGTTGGCGATGGTTCCAATGATCAGCCTGGGAGGGTAAATATGTGTTGGGGGACAGGGAGGAAACCATGGTGAGCGTGTGCAACATCAAATTCTTGCAGGTTATTATGTCGGTGGCTTGGCTGGTTTCAAAATGTCAGCCGCTCTCAGGACCTGGGGAGCCCTCCCTATCTCCAAGGGCAGAACCTCTGGGCCAACACCATTGCCTCCAGATTTTTTTATCTCAGTAACAACTAATTATAATACCCTTAGCTAATGACTGTATGTGTGTAAAGAAGGTTCACTTGTACAATAAAAATAAAGATCTGAAAAGAGCCTGGGTTTGCCATTCTCTCTCCAACCTGGGCAACCAGGACTTGTGCGGAACTCATCTGCCAGCAACATTCTCTTTGAAGACCAGAATCCAAGTTAGATACCCCAAGGTGCTGACATCTGTTTTGTCATGTGGGTGCTTCATGCACATGTGTCTTGCCTCCCCAGGCACATTGTAACTTCCTGGAGGCCCCAACTGGCCCCCTGGTATCTAGGACAGGGCAGGCCCATGGAGGTGCTGAGGAAATGTGACCCAGAAGTCAGTCCTGTTTTATTTGTGTTATGTCTCATCTCATTCCTCAAAGGGCTGGAGACAGTTTACGAGAAATCACAGGCAATAAAGTATAAACTATAAGGAAAGTCTCAAATGTCAAATGAGGTAAAAGGGATAGTTGGGAGTGCAGACAGGGAGGAAAGGCCACAGAGGCCAACATATAAAGATGCCGTCACTGAGATTCAAAATTGTCTCTGAGCTCTTGGAGAGAGGAGGACAGAGCGGCATAAGGGGTGAGTCCTGGCTCTGTGTGACATGAGGTAATTTTTTTTAACATCTTTGAGCTTCAGTTTCCAAATCTGAATGGATTCAGTCATGCCCCCCTTGTAGGTTACTCAGGAGGGAGGCAAGGCAGCAGAAGGGCTGGCATCTTGCAGATGGTCAGGAAAGAGAGCTATTGTGATGAGGATGATGATTAAGCTTAATTATGGGGTACTTGAGATTTCTTGGGTGAGATGGAGCCGCATCCCTCCCCTCAGCCTTCTTTCCCTCTTCCCACATCATCCCCAGGCCCCTGGTTTAGAGAGGGAGGACTCCAGGAAGACTTACGTGTAGTATCTTGCCATGGGGAGGGAGCACATTCCTGCAATTGTGGGCGACTGGTCCTTGCTGAGGGGGAAGGAGAGAAGGGCTGTCAGAGAAGGGTGGGTAGAGCTGGGGGGCAGGCCCCCTGGGGACCCCCAAATCACCAAATCACAGGGTGGAAAAATCTCACTAGGCTGCTTATTTATAACTGGCCTACCAGAGTCCTCCATGATCTCCCCAGCTCAGCAAGTTCCAGGCAGCTCTGTTTCACCCTCCTTTGGGGCCATCTGACCGGGGTGTGAGCCCATGACGTGTGCATGGTGCTAGCTTGGGGAAACCGAAGAACAGGTTCCCCAAAGAGTTTAGACAGGAGTACTTCCTGGAGCTGAGATTGAGGTGGGGTATGCTCCAGCCTCACAGTTTGAGGATGAGCTGGACTCAAACCCTGTCCCACTGCCCAGCCTGGCACTAAAGTCACCTGAAGGTTCCGATTCGCCAGGGCTTGAAGTGACTCCATGACAAGCCAGCCTTGGGAACTGGTATACCATCTCAGTTTTTCTCACTCTCCAGTGAACATATAAATCACCTGCCAGTTCTGGTTCCCTGGGTCTGGGCTGGAGCCTGAGACTGTGCATTTCAAACATGCAACCAAGTGATATGAACACTGCTGGTCCCTGGCCACACTTTGAGTAGCAAAGGACTAGATAGAGGATCTCCCAGCCCAGACAGGCCATCAGCAGCGTGGCCTCAATGCAAGCACACTTGATGCTGTTCTCTCTCTCAGCCAAACTACTGGGGCTCTTTTGGTTGCAGCAGCAAAACTAATGGGCAGGCTAGTAGCTATACCAAGGTCTGGCCGGGACAGATCAAGTGGAGGGCTCTGTGTGAGGATGATGACTCCCACTCTCGGTCAATGTGAGCACAAAGGGCAGGCAGAAATTCAGTGCTGGTCCAGTCTAGCTGGATCTCCAGGGGCCCCAGAAGCCTCCTGTCCTGGCCCAACCCCCAAATCCCAGTATTTCTCCCAAAGACTGCCATATCAGGCACCCCCTCCTGGGTTCTGGCTAGACTGTGATGAGGTGAATAGGAGTGAGAAGCCAGCTTCTAGTCCATCAGAGAGCCTGGGGTCCTGGTGCTAAGCATCTGCCATGGTCCCTCCCAATGCACCACACACTCCATCCCCTAAGCTTTCCATTCCCTATTGTCCCCAGGTGACCTTTCCCTGGACTCTGGCCTATTGTCCTCCCTGGACACCATCTCTGGCTGTCTCAGACTTCATCAATCCACCTGTCCTGAGTCAAAAACCGCCACCCAAGTAGCACTGAGCTTTCTCCATCACATCCTCTCCTTGCTCTCCTACACATTTTCTATGTGGACTATGTTCTCTCCAAGACCAATATTAACTTCTGTGGAGCCAAATCAAAAGACTCTTTTGATTCTTCTGATATTTGGCTTCTGCCTCCTCAGAGCTCTTGACATTAATTGACTCCCTTCACACTTCCATTTTCCCCTTCTCAGGTCTGTGTAGATTCTCCTTTCCATTTGGTGGTGTCCCTAAGGCTGGAAGCCACAAGTCTAAGTTCTAAGCACTTCTCTCTCATACCCCATGAGTTGCCATTCATCCATTTCCATAGCTGCAGTGATCATATTGGTCTAAAGCCTCCCAAGTCCCAGTTGAACATGATACTTTATCTCCAACAGTCTATACGACACCTCCCTTTGGACTTCCTGCCATTACACCCAACCAAATAGATCTGAAGTCAAATCAATCTTCTCCTCCTCCCAGCCCATTCATCTCCCCCCTTCTCCTTACTCTATGTCTGATTTGCTAGCAAGTTCTCATAAATTATTCTTTAAAATGTAATTTTGTCTTCTTTTTTTAAAGATTTATTTACTTATTTGAGAGAGAGAGAGAGAGCACATGCACATGAGTGGGAAGAGGCAGAGGTAGATAGAATCTCAAGCAGACTCCATGCTGAGCATGAACCTGAGCTGAAATCAAGAGTTGGATGTTTAACCAACTGTGCCACCCAGGTGCCCCTAAAATGTAACTTTGTCTTAATAGCCATTGTACCTGTGCCTGTATTCCTGGCTTTTCTACCTTCAATCCAGCCCAACCTATGTGAGGTACCTGGACCTATATTCTAGGTATTGCTTTCACAACATCTCCACCCAGCTCTAGAGTCTACAGTGGCTGCCCATTTCATCACCATCTGGCCCTGATTCACGTGTATGAGTGTTATCTCACTTCTCTGTGGACACTAAACCACCCCTCCAGGCACATGCCTTCTTTCTTCCCTGTGGGCATGCTTACAGTTGTCTTTGATTTCCCTGCCTCAAAAGTCATCCCCCCTCCTTGCCGTCCATTCAGGTCTTTTGGCATTAGAGGCACTGGATATGGTATCATTTATCTATAGGTTGAGTCTCTAGTTCTGCCAAATTAATTATCAGGTCAGAGTAACAGCTCAGACATACAAGGTTATGTCACATCACCTCCACTTCTCAGTTTCAGCATCTATAAAATCATGGAATTAGAGTCTGTGGTTATTAAGATTCTTCCAGATCAAATGATCTATGATTCCATGACTCAGAGTTTAATGAATCTTTCCTTTACTCTTGCAACCCTACTCTGAAATCCTATTAGATTTCACTGTCTTATGTATTGTTCTATATACAGACATTTGTTTCCCTTATAAAAGTTAACAATATCTTGATCCATGAAGTGTGGCCTGTAGCTCCCTCCAACCACCCTGACACACATATATGCTTACAAGCAAGACATAGAAACACACAGAGAAGATTTCAATGGCCAGGTTGGGTTCTAGACCTAGCTTTGCTACCAATTTGGCTTGCTACCTTAGAAAGTCCCCTTTAGTCCCTGGGCCTCCAACTTGTTATCATTAGGAAGAGAGGCTGGGCAAGGTCAGTATTTTTCAAAACTAAGTTTCACAATGAAAATTTACACAGAAATCTAATGAAAGTAGAATGGATAAAGGGAACTTGCTTTTGCTGAATCAGAGAATGAGGGTGATACCAGAACCCTGTCTTTGACCACTAAAGCAGGCACTGGGCACATCTAACAAACCCCAAGCCTCACCACACAATGGTGAATACCACTGGCCTAGTTGATTTCTTCTGAAATTAATTCCTAAAATCTATGGTTCTAAATATTTAAAAATCTTGACTTGGTTTAACCCATGCTTTCTCTCAAATTCTTTCTATGTGCTCCCAGACTTATTTAGCATCCCATGATGTTCTGTGGAGGGGATACCTTGTTATCTAAAGAGCTTGCCAGGAGGAGTTAAGGGAGGGGGCATACCAGAGATATTGACAGAAAGGAGAAGGAAAGTGAGAAGGAGAGATAGAATACTGCCTATGAACCACTGACCTGAAATCCTGGGTGCCTGGAACATCCAACTGATTTCTCCAGGGCATCTGCCCCGAGTTTATACTGTCTGGTCAGGGTGGCTCAAGCCTGCTGCAATCTTTATAATTGGCTCTAGGTTGGGAAAGAAGAGCCTAGGGATTTCACAATGTCTTTAGCACAGTATGGATAATGAGAAGGTGGGGGCATTAATGAGTGTTTGTTGAAGGGGGAGAGAGTCACCCATAAAGCCTGGCAGAAGCCTGTCACTGGGCCCCTGCTCATAGCTACTATCATTGACACTGTTATTGGTGGTTTCAATAGCCAGATAAATAGTCTTGGGATCAGATGTCTTCATATCACCTTCCTGTTGGTGCCCCATGAGGGTCCATCCTAGGCTTAGAGAGGTAGAAGAGGCAAGAGGGGATGTGTTTAAGGGGCCCAAGGACAGAGCAACCTCTGGTGTTTTAAGCCAGGCTGCAGCCAGCAAGACAACATGAGAGAGGGGACTGATGGCATTGGGAGTATGGCCCTGTTTGGAAAGAGGAGAGGGAAGTCTCTGCTTTTCAACAAGTCCTATTAGCTGTTATCAGGTTGATGAGACAGAACATTTAAGGAAACCCACCTGCAGAGGACATTGACCTTAGATCCATCCTGGGACTGGGCAGCCATCGTGTTCCCTGGAGGGTTAGGACACATGACACCGTGTAAGCAGGGCAGGTGTAAAGAGCACCATGTGAGCAGGGCAGGAGTAAAGAGAATACTCAAGCCTCTAATCAGTATTACTTAACTCAGTCTATCCATCCACCTGTCTGTCCAACCATCCAACCATCCATCCATCTGTCTACTTGCAAGGGGTGGAGAAGCTTGGCATAGTGTTCTCTGGGGACCATCTGCCTTACCATAATTCTCACTCTTAGGTCATTCAAAGGGCCTGGTAAGAAAGTAGGAGAGGCCAATCCACACGTAGATGCTTAAAGAGTGAAAGATAAGAAAAGATGGGCAGGGAGGGGATCCAATTTCTGTTTCCTAAGGCCAACAGTCATTCTTCACCCCTCTCCCAATCTATCTCTCATCTCTCTGTGGAAAGGGCCAATGCATGGGGTATTATGCCAGGCAGTCAATGAGCATTTACTGAGTATTTACACTGCTGTGTGACAAAGATGTGCAATGCATGGTCCCTGTTGTTAGGTAGCTTTACAGTCCAGCTGGGGAGCTAAGTCATAAATATTTAAAAAGATAATTAAGAAGACTGGGCTCTCTAATCTGCAGGACAAGGGCATATTGGAAACAACAGAGGCAGAGAATCTCCTTGAGTAAAACAATTCCTAGAATTTTTAGACATGGCATATAGGATCCCTCCAAAGGGAGAAATCTGTGCTACAGCACCCCCGAGATATAGTTAATCAGGCTCTTCTTCAATACCTCCACAACTTCTTGAAGAAACCCTAGCAGTGTGTGTGGTCCTTGCGGTTAAAATTTTTGGGTCACACGTAATTTCTACTCATCAGTCCTGCTTGTGCCTCCTGGAATTACACAGAACAAGTTTATTTTTCTACTAGGCAGAGCTTTGAGTGTTTGAATGGGGCTTTCTGTGTATTGCTTCTCCAGGATAAAGACCCTCAGCTTCCTAGCCTCTACCCTAATGACTTGATTGTGGGACACTCTCAACTATTCAGAACACACTCTTAGTCCTCAATGCCTATGCCTTGCACAAATGCCATGTGATGTGGGCATAATACCTCTGTAAATACAGGTCAAGCTGGGGACTTATATTGAAATTGAAGAAATCTAAAACCACTATGTCTTTTTCATATGAACAGTTATGATGCCAAGGTCCCCCAGCCCATACATTCTGTTTTACTTTCCTTCTTTTTCTATTGACTCATGTCAGCTCATCCCTGCTAAAACCATTTTGAATTCTACCATCCTACAAATGATGAATCAATCACTTCAGGCTGGAGAAAGCTTCCAGACTGAGGTGAAATTTCAGCTGCTCCTTGAAGGGTGGGCCCATTTAGATGGGTGGAGGAGAGAGAAAGAATAGTCCAGGGTGGAGGAATAGTTTCCACATTCTATACTTGCCGGTTTCCAATTATTTGTCAAATGTTATTTGAGATCCTTGGAAACAAATAAATACAGCCTTGACCTTGAGGTCATTTCAGGGGCCATAGACCCCAAATCAATTATTACAATGAGGGGGAGTTGGCATAGCAATGTAGCACAGTCAGAGCAGATGACCAGACATCTCAATTCAGCAAAGTTTTCTTGGAGGAGGTGACAATATGAGACTATGGCTGGGCCCATGGGCAAAGAAAGAGTGTGAAATGGGTCTGCAGAAACAAGCCTGGTGCCCAGAGCCTGTGTTCTCGGCACTCCTGAGAGGCCTGTGGCAGGACTTGTGCTGTCGGCTACCCAAGGGCTTTGGCTGCATCTGGGCCTCAGTAGCTCCACAGAGACAGACCCTTCTGGTCTGGCCACCTCCTTGCTAGCGCTTCAGCAGAATCTGAACCTGCCAGGCTGGTCTGACCGGTGAGGTGCAGGAAGAATACCTGGGGCTCAGATTTAGGCCTCTCCTCTGGCTTCTGTTCTGATCCCTTAGAGTTTAGGCAGGCATGCTGGAGTCATAATCCCTGGCATGTCAGACTGGAGGTGCAAAGGTAGTCAAGGAAGAGTTAAACCTTACAGACACTGAGAATATTCAATAACTTTAGTATGATCAGCTTTTAAATAGAATGTTTGGAGAAACAAAAGGGCTGATGTTGATTTTGAGAAGGAAAATGAAAATATTGGAGAAAACTGCAATCATAATAAAATAAATGCATTTATTTCTCTTTTCCTATGTATTAGTTATCTATTGCTGTGTAACAAGTTGGGGCACCTGGATGGCTCAGTCAGTTAAGCATCCGACTCTTGGTTTCAGCTCAAGTCAGGATCTCAGGGTCCTGGGATTGAGCCCTGCGTCAAGCTCCACCCTCAGCAGGGAGTCTGCTTGAGATTCTCACTCCCCCTCTCCCTCTGCCTGCCCCTGCCCTGTGTGCACTCTCTCTCTCTCTGAAAAGATAAATAAACAAATCTTTTTTTAAAAAAAAACCTTAGCAACTGAAAGTAACAAACATTTATTTTCTCAAAGTTTCTGAGAGTTGGAAATCTAGACCAGTTTAGCTAGGTGGTTCTGCTTCAGAGTCTCTCTTGAGGTGGCAATCGAGCTGTCAGCCAGAGTTGCATCATCTGAAGGCCTGACTGTGGCTGGGAGAGCTGCTTTCAAATGCACTCATGTGGCAGTTGGCAGGAAGCTTCATTTTCAACACATGGGTCTCTCTATAGGGCTGCTTATGAGATGGCAGCTGGCTTCCCCCAGAACAAGTAAACAAAGAAACAGACAGAGAAAACAAGATAGAAGCCGCAGAGTCTTTTTTACAATCTAATCTCAAAAGTAGCATATTACTTCTGCCACATTCTGTTAGTCACAGAGACAACACGGGTACAATGTGGGAGGGGACATACACGATGTGAGATGGGGTTAGCAGCAGCTTTGTTTATGTCGTAGGGCTGCCATAACCAATTACCACAAAATTGGTGGTTTAAAACAATGAAAATTTTTGCTCTCATAATTCAGGAGACTAGAAGGCTGTCCTCTCTCTGAAGGCTTTAGGGAAGAGTACTTCCTTGCCTCTTCCTAGCTTCTGGTGGTTGCCTCAGTCATGGTATTTCTTGCCTTATTGCCGCATAAGTGCAATCTCTGCATCCATCTTCACATAGCCTTCTTCCTGGGTCTCCTGTGTGTCTCCTGTTGCATATGCAGTCATGCTGGATTTAGAGCCCATCCGAATACAGCATGACCTCTTAACTAATTACATCTGCAAAGAACCTGTCTCCAAATAAGGCCCCAGTCTAAAATTTCCAGAAGGACATGAATTTCAACCAGCATGGGACCCTTTGGAGGCTGAAACCCACACCTTGCAATCTCAGGGGGCTATGACCACTCTAGGTCCAGGATTATTCTTTCTATAAATTCCTTTTCCAGGAGATTCCAACCACACTAACTCATCATATTCTCTTTCTTCACAGCTTTGCTGAGGTCTGTGTACTGATTCTGTCGCTGCTGACCAGAGCAGCAGAGCTCAATTCAGTTTGAATTTCACTCAGGGAAGTAGATGCTGAAGATGATTAGAAATATTATCTGCTCTGTTTTCCTCAAGATTAACTTACTTATTACACAAAAAGTTCATCTTCATTGTAGAACAATTAGAAAATGTTTAAATAAAAGAATACAAAGAAAAATTACCTGTAATTGCTAAATTAACATCGCTAAAATTGAAGTAAACTCTTTTGGACTTTTTTCCTATGAAGAAATATATAGATAGGTATTTTTTAATTAAAGTGAAATTACAAGATATGCTAATTTGTAATTTGCTCTTCTTAATATGTCACAAGCATCTTTCCATGTGAATAGGTACCAGTATCTTGGATTTTAATGGCACCTCAGGTTTCAAAACATATAACATGCCTGGCCATTCTTCAGCCTTCTGAGCTGGAGTCAATTCCTTGGACACCACCACCCTCTCCTGCCATGGCTAGCGCATGAGGGTTGAGATGGAAATGCAGAATATGATGGCAGCTGAGTTACAGGAAAGAGGGAGCGGGCTGGGTTTTGGGTCCCTAACTCTATGACCTCCCTCTCCTGCATAGTGATAGATGACAGGACCTCATGTGGGCAGCTGGTAGCCCTAATAGGCTCAACTTGGGATTGGCTGGCTTGTGGGGCTCAGGGGTACTGGGTAAGTTACCATGAAGCATAAACGGCTTCCAACACTCCCCCCACCCTGACCCCTGGGAAACTTTTCATGTGACTTCCAGTTTATCTTGAGTGGTTTTTGCAAGGTTCTACACCAGTAGCACCACTCAATAGGGAAAGAAACTTATGGACTAAGCCCCAAATCTCAGAAGGATTTACCCAAACTAGGAATCAAAAGGGAGAGTGGCCAAGTGCCCAGCCAGAGGTGGGGCCCTGAGAACAGATGAGGGGAGGTTGCCATCGGTGTCCTCCTCTACCTCCGCCCCTGCCTGAGCCGGCTCTGCCCAAGTAGGTTCTGGGGGGTGCATTGCCCTAGTCACACTGCTGGAAGTAGAAGTCTGTGATGGGGTTGCCCCAGCTGGCATCCTCTGAGAGTTGGGTAAGTCTGAGAGGCTGGTCTGCTTCGGGCACGGTGCAGAGGAACCAGCCTGGGTAGGCAGCTGACTCGAAGCTGGAGGTGAGCCCCGTGTCCCGCCGGTAGAAAGTGAAGCTCTTAGATTCGTTGGCACCGAGGTAGAGTTCCATGATGTTTACTGGCTGTGAGTGGAGAGGCATGGCAGGTGAGGGGAAGGAGCGGAGGAGGCAGGAGAGCTGGGCCATGGGCATGGAGAGGCAGGGCTGTCATCAACAGAACCCTGCGAGGGAGAGGATCAGGCCCCAGGATGCCCGGCCCAGTGGCTTCAGCATCTGCTGGCTTAGTGAAGTCAGATAGCAAGGATGCCCTAACAGGACTCACCTCTAGTTTCAGAGTCGGTTCCTGCCCTGTCCCACACGACAGGCACTGGCTCCCTCCCTGGACGCCCAGGATGACTGGAGACAGCTTGGCATCCAGAGACCGGTTGGGGACAACACTGATCTCCTCGCCTAGAGAAAGGAAGCCAGATTCAGGGTCCCTGACTGCCCTTCCCTCCCTCTCCCCAAATCGTGGACTTTGAAGCACAAGACCTACATGAGACATCCTGTCCCCAGACTGGGCAGAAAGGAAGCCTGGTAGCAGCTGTCATCTACGGAAGGGTGGTCTCCTGCCAGTTGGCCCAATGACATCAAGGCATGTAAGCACATTGTACCATCTCCCACCCCTAGCCCACCCCCTTGTCCAGGCTCAAACCTTCAAGTCTTCTCTAACCCCCAGGGGAGATCTGACCACCTCCTTTAATGCCTCTTGACCCTCTGGCCTTGTTTTGGAAACTCGATTTGATAAGCCTCTCATCAGAGTTATTTGGACATGTTTGTACCAACATGAGAACAGAAGAGGGTCTCATTCTTCTCTGTACCACACATACAAACCTACCCAACCACATACCACACATACAAACACATACACACACTCACATACATGCATGCATGCATACACATGTGTACACAAACAAACACACACACACACACACACACACACACTGCCTGGCCCCAGAGCCTAGTAAATGTGTCCCAAGTGGGCAGGTATGTGCTATTTTAGAGAGAAGGCCTGTCATGGTGTCTGGGGCATGAGGCCAGATGGTGCCACTTGCTATCTGGGTCCCATCACTCTGAGGGACCAGGAATCCCCAGAGAGCAGAGGGAACCCACCCAGGGCAAAGGGATAGAAAGCCACTCCCATATGGGAATAAAGGCCTAGGAGCCTATTTTAGATCTCTCCCCAGCACTTGCTCCCAGGAAAAGGAATGTTTGGCCTAAGTCTACCTATGAGGGAAGAACAAAGCATTCATCCTGGAAAATATTCCCACCTTTGCATAGAGGCTTCAGGTGGCAATGGGGTAGGTGTCCTCACTTTGCTGGAAGGCGTAGTATTTTATTTGTCCTTGTTCAGAGCCTGCTTTTATGATGCCCATCTACAGTGTCAGGCCTGGGATCTGTAGGCCTGTGCCAGTTTGCATAGCTATTCTAAGCCCCCTCCAGTCCCCCTCCCCTCAGAGTGTATAGAGACCTAGGGAAGTAGGGTCATGTTTTGCCACCAACCTTTGATGACCTTCCCTGCATGCAGCCCTCCAGCTAGAAGCTGGTTATCATGCAGATAAAGCACCTTCAAGGCCGCATCCTTCATTCTGAAACATCAAGACAGGATGATGCTTAGTTAGGGGAGGGGTGGGTGCTCGGGATTGCTGGGCTCTACAGAGTCCCCCAGTGTCAGGCATTGTCTCCCTCTCCTCCCGCTGTGCCAGAAGTAACCACCCAACCTTCTCTGCCTGCCCTGCTGGGCTCATACCCTACTAATGGGATAACAATAACCCCCCATCTGAGTCTTCACCCTATTCAATCTTTTCTACACCAACCAATCTCCTCCATGTGTGATGTTGGAAAAGAAACTGGACTGTGAGTCAGAATCCTGGGTTCTTATCTGGCTGTGCCGCCACTGTTGCTGAGTCCCAACAGACAAGTTGCTTGCTCTCTCTGGGCCTGAATTTCCCTGTTGCTAATTAAGACAATGGGTTAGATAAGGCCCAAGCCTCTTCCAGATGAAAATCTGATTCTTCAGTCATTATTGAAGACATCAAGGCACATTTACTCCCACCTATTAAGTGAGGAATATCTTTAAATTTAAAATTCTTGGGGCGCCTGAGGGGCGCAGTCGGTTGAGCGTCCGATTCTTGGTTTGGGCCATGTCGTGCTCTCAGTGTCATGAGATCGAGCCCTGCGTTGGGCTCGTGCTCAGTCTGAAATCTGCTTAAGTTCCTCTCTCCCTCTCCTTCGGCCCCTCCCCACTGCGCACTCTCTCTCTCTCTCTCAAATAAATAAATAAATCTTTAAAAAATAAAAATAAAATAATAAATTTAAAATTCTTATATTCTACTTTTCAAATTTATTTCTCATTTCTGATTTCAGTTGATTTTTTGACATCTTGTGAGGAGAAAAATATATCCTAAAATGGGTTTCTTCAGGTGTTATACGGAAATAAGTATGCTATGTGCAAATTGGTTCAGTGGTGGCTAAACACAAACAAATCTCATTGAAAGTTACTAATATATTGAATTGTACCATGGTTCTCTTATAAGAAGACACAGAAAGCAGTATTTCCCACATCTCTTAATCAAGGAGCTCCACTATATAAAGCAACTCATAGGGTCAGGGCTCCCCAGAACCCACCTTGGGCAAAGCTATGTTAGACTCTGAGTCCTAGAGAACTAGGACCATTTTCACTCACTAGTGCGAAGTCCAGAACACAGCAGACCGCCTGGCTCAGTACATGCCAGCAGACAGACAGACTGATTGACCAAATAGTTTTGTTGTTGTTTTGCCCCAAAGAGCAGCAGGGAGATAGTGGAGCAGAGTGACATCAATTCACCCCAGTGGGTGGTAACAGCTCTGAGCTGGGTCTCCTGACTTCCATTCTCATTATGGATATGTGGGGCTGAAGCTCTACACAGAGTGATTCACTTGCTCCCCCTTCTCGTCAGGGAAGCCCCATGAGGTGGCCAGCCCCAGCCTGACAAAGGCTGGAAAAACTTCTCTTAGGACAATGAGGGGCTGTTCACAACTTCCCAGCTGTTCACCCACCTATGAGAGCCCCAACTCTGGGCAGGTGCAGCCCCTCCCTACCCAGAAAGGATGGACAACAGGTCTACCTGGAACTTATTTCCCCCAGAGGACACAGCCAGTCAGAGGTTCAGATACTCACCGGAAGCACAGTGCCCCACTCAGGACCATCTTGAGCTTCACAGTGTGTAGACTCTCCTATTCTGAAATAACACAAAATCTTAGGTGGAGATAGAGGCTGGGCTGGAAGGGGCCTGAGTAGCAAACAGCCTTCTAACCCTACCACCCCTCTCCCCAGCATGTGAACATCCCCCACAGAGCAGGGGATTCTAGGCCTGGGGTCAGGAGAGAGCCCCAGTCCTGCTGGGGAGAATGAAACCCAGCTCCCCAAAGGACACCTCAGAATGCTCCTTTCTCCTGGTAGAGCCTGTGGTATCTGCCTGCTCCTCTGGGATGCCTCAGCCCTTTTAATAATGCACTAGGGAGGAGCCCCTGAAACTGCCACAAGCTGAGGAGGAGCAGGGTTTCCCAGGTATTTCACACCACCCTAAGCATCCAGAAACACCTGCGCTTCATTACCTCTCCCAAGGAAGGAAGGTTCTGGAGATAGTCTTCTTTCAGCAATTCTGATGAACTTCCCAGGGGCTTTCAAGCTCTTTGTGAGCACTCAGCTCCTGGACCTCAGGCGCTTCCAGACCCAAAGACTTCCGTGCAAATAGCCACTCAAGGAAAGAAGATTGTAGAACAAACCCCCTTTTCTCCTTCCTTCCTTCCTTCCTTCCTTCCTTCCCTCCTTCCCTCCCTCCCTCCCTCCCTTCCTCCCTTCCTCCCTTCCTCCCTTCGCCAGGACTATGGAAAATGCTGGAGGTGGGGCTTTCCTGCTTAGGCAATGTTTAGTCTACATATTCATTGTAGAAAAACCTGAAAATCCAGATTGGCAAAACAAAACACACCATGAATACTTGTCTTCTGTGAGTGTACCATCAGAAAACCAATGACAACACTTTTCCACTGCTTACATTATACATGTAACTGTCAACTGTGTCTCCTGCAGCTTCGTCATAGGGCCTACACTCTATTCAACTTGCTTTTTTCATGTAGCAAAATAGCAGAATATCTTTTCATACCAAATATGAATTATGATATAACCTTGAACAGCTGCATACATTTCATTGTATAGATGTATCATTTATTTATAGCAATCAATTATTACTAGTCTATTATTATTTGCTATTGAAAATCATGTGGTGACAAACATCTTCGTATCAACCTCTTCACTCGTGTCTGATTATTTCCTTAGAAAATAAAATCTAGCCCATGCCACTTGTAATCAATCTTTCTCCAATACCTAATTGGCAAATTAATATGTGGCTGGGTAACAATTCATGCAATTTCAATACCTTGATACATTCTCTGTGATGGATCTGAATTAAAGGTAGAGGGCAGTGCATAATAAACAATTTAATGACATTTTGAGTACCGCTGATAGCCATATATTGTTAAGATACAAATTTTAAAGAAATTGTGTTCCAGTTTATAGGCTAAAAAGTCCTTATAGTGTTCAAGAATAAATAAAATACCAAGTTTTTCCAATGTGATAAACACCTTTCAGAAAACCTTATTTTTTTAAAGATTATTTATTTATTTATTTGACAGAGAGAGACAACACGAGTAGGCAGAGTGGCAGGCAGAGGAAGAAGCAGGCTCCCTGATGCAGGACTCGATCCCAGGACCCTGGGACCATGACCTGAGCCGAAGGCAGATGCTTAACCAACTGAGCCACCCAGGCGCACCTCAGAAAATTTTTAAAATGTAAAGGCTACTTTATGCAAAATGATCAAATTGACCAAATGGAAAGGACACTGAAAATAACTATAAAAAAGAACAAAATTAAAAAGAAAACAACAGAAGGTGCTGGCCTATAGGCAAAGTGGTTTTTTGGGTTTTTTTTTTTAAGATTTTATTTATTTACTTGAGAGAGAGAAAGTGAGTGGGGGGGTGAGGGGCAGAGGGAGAGAAACTTGAAGCAGACTCCCTGCTGAGCCCAGAGCCCCCCAGACTGTCTCGGGGCTCTATCAAATGACCCATGAGAACACGACCTGAGCCAAAACCAAGAGTCGCATGCTCAACGGACTACACCACCCAGCGCCCCAAAGTGGTTTTAAGCAGACAGACTTTCATTTGTAAAGTGATCATAGGGAAGTACATACTGTTTCACTTAAAAAGGCTGCCTTCTCTGATCCCCTGACCGCAGTGAATTGCACCAACGTGCCCACAGGACACATCGGCGGGGCTTCAGAAGCTCTGTCCTCATTCTGACTAATATGGAATGACACCAGTGCATGGCTGCACCCCGCCAGATAGGGCAGCTTGCTGAGGGCACAGGGGGATGTGTTTGCCAGCTCTGTCTGTTCTGCTGTGTGCTTCATGGTGATAGGTACACAACGAATGGATGGAGAGATGAATGAATGAGCTAAGATGGTGAAAGTGACAAAAACAAAATGAACCCCCATTAAGAAAGTTAAGTTCTTCAAACTTGAAAATAAGACAAAACGTAGCTTGAAGACCGGCATTGTGATGCCACCAGCTTTGGTTTTCTTTTTCAACATTCCTCTGGCTATTCAGGGTCTTTTCTGGTTCCATGCAAATTTTAGGATTATTTGTTCCAGCTCTGTGAAAAACGTCGATGGTATTTTTTTTTAATTTTTTTATTCTTATGTTAATCCCCATACATGACATCATTAGTTTTTGATGTAGTGTTCCATGATTCATTGTTTGTGCATAACACCCAGTGCTCCATGCAGAATGTGCCCTCCTCAATACCCATCACCAGGCTAACCCATCCTCCCACCCCCCTCCCCTCTAGAACCCTCAGTTTGTTTTTCAGAGTCCATGTCGATGGTATTTCGATAGGGATTGCACTGAATGTGTAGGTTGCTCTGGGTAGCATAGACATTTTCACAATGTCTATTCTTCCAATCCATGAGCATGGAACGTTCTTCCATTTCTTTGTGTCTTCCTCAATTTCTTTCATAAGTGTTCTGTAGTTTTTAGAGTATAGATCCTTTACCTCTTTGGTTAGGTTTATTCCTAAGTATCCTATGGTTTTGGGTGGAATTGTAAATGGGATCAATTCCTTAATTTCTCTTTCTTCCGTCTCAGTGTACAGAAATGCAACTGATTTCTGTGCATTGATTTTATATCCTGCCACTTTGCTGAATTCCTATATGAGTTCTAGCAATTTTGGGGTGGAGTATTTTGGATTTTCCACATAAAGTATCATGTCATCTGCAAAGAGTGAGAGTTTGACTTCTTCTTTGCCAATTTGAATGCCTCTTATTTTTTCTGTTGTCTGATTGCTGAGGTTAGGACTTCTAGTACTATGTTGAACAACAGTGGTGAGGGTGGGCATCCCTGTCATGTTCCTGACCTCAGGGAAAAAGGTCTCAATTTTTCCCCATTAAGAATGATATTCACTGTGGACTTTTTGTATACTGCTTTTATGATATTGAGGTATGTTCCCTCTATCCCTACAGGGTGGAGAGTTTTTATCAAGAAAGGATGTTTATAGCAGCAATGTCCACAATAGCCAGACTATTGAAAGAGCCAAGACGTCCATCGACAGATGAATGGATAAAGAAGATATGGTATATATATATATATATATATATATATATATATATATATATATACACACACACACACACACACACACAATGGAATACTACTCAGCCATCAGAAAGGATGAATACTTACCACTTACATCGATGTGGATGGAACTGGAGGGTATTATGTTGGGCAAAATAAGTCAATCAGAGAAAGACTATTATCATATGGTTTCACTCATGTAGAATATAAGAAACAGTGCAGAGGATCATAGGGGAAGGGAGACAAAATGGAATGGAAAGAAATCAGAGAGGGAGGGGCGCCTGGGTGGCTCAGTCGTTAAGCATCTGCCTTCGGCTCAGGTCATGATCTCAGGGTCCTGGGATGGAGCCCTGCGTTGGGCTTCCTGCTCAGCAGGGAGTCTGATTTTCCCTCTACTTCTCCCCCTGCTCATGATTTTTTTCTCTCTCTCTCTCAAACAAATAAATAAAATCTTTAAAAAAGGCCAGAGAATTGTCTCACATTTTGTTCATAGTTATGATTTTTATTTCTCAGAGAGGTTTGATGCTTCTGGGTCCTCATTCTCTTAATATAGCAGTTAAGATCATGGTGGACACTCTCTGGCCAGTGGGCTAACACGGGCCCACTGTTTGTTTTCTAAACAACGCTTTATTGCAACACAACCATGTTCATTTGTTTACACAGTCTGTGGATCCTTCTGTACTACAATGGCAGAGCTGAGTATCTGTGACAGAAACTGCACAGATAGGATATTTAGTACGTGGTCCTTTATAGAAAAGGTTTGCTGAACTCTGGTCACAACCATCTTGATTCAAGTCCTAAATGTGTCACTTATTAGCATACATCTTTGGTCAAGTTGTTTAATCTTTCTGCATTTTGGAGTTCTCATCTGTAAAATGGGGATAAAAATTGTACTGACTCAGGAGTGGCTGTTAAGATTAAAGGAGTTAATGTCTGTGAAGTGTTTAGAGCCATGCCTGGCACAAGCAGGTGCTTAAATGTCAGCTGTATCATCATCATCATCATCAGCCACGTGGCCTGGGGGAATTTGCCTCATCTCTCTGATTTGATGATTCATCTCACCTCATCTACATTTCTCTGTAAAGAAAAGAGGAACAACCACCTCACTGGGTTGTCATGAGGATGGATGAGACAGAGGCTGTGAAGAGCAGGGTCAGCACTTAACACAAACCCATAGACACCTGCTTCCCACCCCCTCTGTTTCTCACCTCTCTGGCACCCCTCCCCAGGTATGTAGAGAGGACCCTGAGAACATGGCAGAGTCCCCCCTTTACGCTGACCTAAATCTGAGGCTAGTTCAAGGCGGCCATGCACTTCCTTGCCATTGTGCTAACACATCTTACCTGACCCAGAGAGGGAGAAGGCTCCAACTCAGCCTGGCTGAATGACCACAGATTATGCTGTGGATTTTCAAATCCCTTTTACAAGAAAGGTTCACATCTGCTGTGCATTCACTGTGTCAACATTATCTCAAAAGCAGTACAGACTTTGTGCCATCAGACCTGTGAAATGAGTGCAATTTTTATTCCCATTTAACTGATAAGACAATGTCAGACCTAGAGAGGTGAAGTAACTAACCCAAGGTCACAAACCAGTAAGACATGGACCTGGTATTCGTACTCTGGCAGTTCGATTTCATACTAACTCACCCCCATTCCCCCCCTGTGAACAAATAAGCCATATAATGCTTACAGACTCAAGCAAGCAAGGGATGGAGGGTAGAGCTGGAGGTCAGGGGGCCTCCCTGCCAGCAGTCTTTTGCAGGAAGGACCAAGGGGCTTCTTGAGAAGAACAGAGACTTCAAGAAAAACAACAGAAACCAATAGAGTTGGTCCAGAGACAAAGGGCTCCAGCACGACAGAGTGTGGCACACATTAGGACAGAGGGGATTCTTCACTCCCTGGAGTGACTTTGGTGGCCTGCCTGGCCTAGGAGAGCTGTTGGTGATGCACAGACACACAGCCTCCAGGGAGCTGTGAACAGAAGTGTCCTTCCTGCTATAGCCCTGGACTCCCACCCCAACGACAGCCACATCCTGCAGTCACTGTGTGGAGCAATAGAGGGAAGGTGCTGCTTGGCTCATAGCACATTTTAGTAAT